TTGTTGAGTAATGGACTAATATTTTATCACCCAAAACAAAAGTTGTGCACATACAAACAACCGATTGCCATACCATTGCTGATTCTTCCTGAACTCAGTAAGAACTGGGTATATGTTCTCAAAGGCAGTATATGTCTCATCTCTAACCTGAAATTCATATAAAATGCTGAGCATGGTAAACCACCAGCATAACATGTAGAAATTTAAAGAAGAATCCATTAGAAGGCAGAGACTATGTATTACCTTAGCTCCTGTGATGACAATTTTCCCAGAAACAAAAATAAGCAGCACTATTTTTGGTTGTTTCATGCGATATATTAATCCAGGGAATAGTTCTGGCTCGTACTGTACCAAGAAAAATGGAAGATGATAAATACAGGGAGGAATATCAAAGTCAATATATCTGTCAGAATTCCCACTAAACAGTTCTNTGGTAGAAGATCTGAAGTTCTACAGTGTGTCAAATACTTCAGACTTGTCAAAGCACAGGATGTCATCAATTGGGAATGGACGATTATCATTCATGACCCAGGTTTTGTCACTTCAATTCGGCACCATTTGCAGCTAACCCATGGTTAAACCAAGACCATCACTAGTGACTTTTCTGGTTGATAATGACCCAACCAATTCGAGGAATAGATTTTTGTTCTCAAGCTTGTTTGCTTATTCTATGCTAGCAAAAGCATTGTTGACCTCACAGTTTCACATAAAATTTCAGAGTCCTTTGAAGTTCCGTGCATTTCAAATAACATACGTTTTAAGGCAACTGACATGAAGAGGTCAACAATGCCTAATATCTCAAACCACTGATACATCAAATTCTAAGAATTTTATCTGTTACCATTACAATTGCAGGATACTGCATATGAAAACTGATAAATAGGAAGACATATCGAGGAAAAAGGTCAGTAATACTTCCAACAAATTCAAGAGAAATGATACATCGAAATTTCAAAAACTTGATCTGCTACAGATACAATTAGAGGATAATACAAAAGAAGACTGAAAAATAGAAAGAAGGCAAAAGCTGATTCTTGTCTGACGGAGTAACCCAACCAAATAACCGCAGATCAATCAGATGAAGGGCTTATACCTTATAGGTATAACAGGATTGCAATTACAATATTCACTAGATTTATGAATACTAAGAAATAGTGATATAATATGTCAATACTTACACTTGAGAAAGCACCGTGGGCATATGCAAGGCCTTCAAGTCGAATAGGAAATTTAACATCACAAGAACCAACTATATTCTGGATCTTAAAATCCTACAATGGAGCAAAACAATTCAAATAACTGAAACATATAGCAGAAACAGCAAAAAGAACAAAATTGCAGCTAGACTAGGATTATTTGGCAACTTCTCCTATAATTGTGTATTGTTTCCAGAAAACTAGGAACAAAGAAGAGAAGCTTTGCCTAGAAGCGTTTTAAGTCATTCTGAAGCATTTTCAAAGCACGTGTCAATTCTTGAAAAAACAAATATAATGTCTTAGCCGCTTCCAGAACATTGCAAACTGCGTACTGAAGGCTTTCAAGCACATATCCCAGCTCACAACGTTTATAAAGTTTTCTCTGCACAACTTGTTGATTGAGGATGTAATTTTACCTTTGGCCTTGGTTCTAGGGAATATCAAAGCACCAGACTAGCCTGTCGAATAGATCACTCCCTCTGAAGGCTCAAATCGATATTCTGATTTTTCTTTTGTAGTGATATCATTAATATACTTAATGTCTTCTTATTTATGTATATGGGAAAATCCTTTATTCACGTGAAAATAGGTACCGGCATTGACAGGTTAGGTCCATCCAGCTATAGTGGATTAGATCCAAGGGTAGTTATGAGGTAAATTTTAGAAAAGCGTTTGCACCCTATGATGGACAAATGTTCCAAAATATGTAAAGAACGCAGTAATCAGGATGGAAACATAAACATATTCTTCCCTCTCTTTTTTTTCTGAAGAGGCAGTTTTTCTCCTTTCCTATTCCTTATTTTCATTCTCACATCCAGGATAAGGGAAGGGGATATGTATAGTTTTCTATAAAATCTCAATAAACTGAATAACTGAGCAAAAGTGGTTACCTTAAACTTGGCTGGAAAACCAAGCTTTTGAATGATTCTAGCATACTGTAAAAGATTAGGAAAACATCAAAGTAAGAAAGATAGGCACTTCAAATAAAAAGAAAATGAGAACTTGACAATTTATGAAAATAACTACTGAAGACATAAAAAGCCTGCTGAACAGTTGGAACCTTTTCAAGAAATATACTAGACAGATGCTAAATCCAAATTAGTATTGTCTGATTCATTGAACTTTCTGATAAAGTTTGTCTGATTCAGTGAACTTAGATAAGCATCTGGATTCATCATAAAGGATACAATACTAGCTATTAACTAGTACATACTTTCCGTGCTGCCAACTTTGACTGTTGTTCACTTTTTGCTCCAGTACAGACCTGAGACAAATAAATTCACAATTAGAAGGCATGAGTTTTAAGCAGAAAGTAGATAATAAAATGAGTATTTCTGGATAGCAATGAGAAGCTATGTTGCTCAGATCCTTCAATAGTCTTGCCGCACCCATGTCGATCCTACACGATTTGGGTGTGGGTGTGGGAGTGGGTGTGGGATCTGCACTCGATTTAGTCAACCTAACTTGGGTGTTTGACTTCACCTATCGCCAAGTATAGGTTGATTGGGTATTTGGTTTGACTTTTGAGGTTATGTCATATACTCCCTCTGTTTCAAAAAGATTGGCACTATTTCCTTATCAGTTTGTTTCAAAAAGATTGGCACTATGACACCTTTCAATATTTTCTTAATAAGAAGCATTTATAACCACACAAATGTTATGACAAGTTTCAGACCACAAGTTTCAAAAGTTTTAGAACCACACAAATGCTATGGCTTATTTAAGACCACATATCTCAAAAGTCTTTCCTTCCTTATTAAAGTTTGTGCCAAGTCAAATTAAGACAATCTTTATGAAACGGAGGGAGAGTGTGTGTGTGTGTGTGTGTGTATAT